TTTGACAAAAATGAGATTTTTGCTTTATCACTTTCTGCTGTGGCAACATAACGTGCTGCTCCTCGTTTTCCAGCCTGCTGTTGCTCTAACAAACGTTAGCAGTGAAAGAAAAGAACAGAAATATCACCTTTCACAATACATGGTAATAATCCTTTGGAAAACCGAGGGCGCCGACGACTTCTCAGAGCATCTTCGTGTTTCCGTTGCCATCGAGGTTTTCCCTGGCGGCGATGACATGTGTAAGCACATGTAGAAATGTCGGCCATATTGATCGTGAGCAGCCTTTAATCTGCGGCAGCTCTTTCCTCCATTACAGCTGATTAGTCGCCGCTTTAGCTTCCTGCCGCGTTGTGAAACCTGAGACGGCGGTTGTGGAAACACCAGTGTAATTACAGCCGGGAAAGACACAACAGGCCGGAGAGATGGCTGCGTGCTGTTTGAAAATGTTTGAATATGTTTATTGAACGCAGCCTGTAAAATCCTGACCAGTAAACCACAGTAAATCCCTGCAGGGCAGATGGTGGTGTAATTGCTCTCTACTGCACCCTGCCTGGTGGAGCGCCGGCTGGAAAACAAGGTCTCAGTCCGGCCTGGGAGAAATATCTCAAAGAGCGAATCAGCAGCACCGATACAATCAAACACATTTCACGTCCTCACAGTTTCTTCTTTTGATCATTGTGACAATTTTTTCTGGTCTGAATTTGTGTTTTCATCACAGAAATACAGAAACGTGTTTTCCAGGTTCATGAAAACTGTGTTGAAGCTTCGCTGCATGAAGTTAACTGAGAGGCAAAAGTGAAAAGAAGAAATGAAACTTTTAATAATGACAGCGAAACATAAAACAAACAGCTGAGTGAAGCCGTCGACCGAGGAAGAGCGCGGGGGGATTAAAGTAAACGTGCCCGTTAACCTGAAATCATCGATAACGATCACAGTGACTGTTCCCCAACTCCTCCTGGAGGTGCTGATCAGTCGGGATGAAGCTCACTCTGTTACTGGCCGTGGGACCAGGATCATCTACGTATCTGTATATATGTTATCTGTACTAATATCTATAGAGCCTTGGAAATTATACGTTTGCAGTATGTTTATGCTGTTGTTTGTAAATAAATTATTTGATAGAGAATCACTGCACTAAAAATAGTTTAAGTCCACAGAAATATGTTGTCATACATATCTTTAAATAAATCCTCATCGTCGGTGATGCTAACAGAGCCTGTAATCGATCACTTTGCCTCAGAGCCGGAGCTCGGCCTCGGGGCCGGTGTCCTGCAGGTTTCAGACGTGTCCGTGATCCATCACAGCTGATTTAAATGGATAAATGACCTCCTCAACATGTCTTGAAGCTCTCCAGGAGCCTGGGAATGAACTAACCATGTGATTCAGGTGTGCTGACCCAGGGTGAGATTTAAAACCTGCAGGACACCGGCCTTCGCACCCTGGAGCTCCACCACCCCTGTCTTTAACTATGAATATGTAGCTCGCAAAGAAGAAGAACAATAAATATGTTTTTATAACTTCGTTATTAAAGCTATATAATGAGCATAAAAGAATGACGTGGTAAATTAATATACACGTCTGTGTTTTCATTCATAAGAAGCAAATAAGCGCTGCATGCTGCTGGATTAATAATAACTTCTCAGGAGCAACAGGATAAATCTGACGTGGGAAATGTGACGGCTTTCTCATGAAAGTGTCTGCTAAAGGAAGTGAATGAGTTCATCTGCAGGTCATCACAGAGCTTTAAAATCAGCTGACAATAAAGTATAATTTTACACTGACATTCAGAACGAGGCGAGATGGGAAAACTTCACATCCAACTTAAATGTTTTTAGTGGGTTTGTGGGGGCTAATCCTTTTTTTCAATCATTCAGATCACCCACAGTTGGGACGCTCCTGTATGCAGCGATAAGCCGGTCAGCGCTATGGATTACTTCTGATCGCAGCAGTTGTGCGGCTCTCCAAATGATAAAGAGACAGCGGATAAAGTCGAGAACACTTTGTGATGCAACTGTTCTGATTTCTTCTTTTTCTCTGGTGCTCCTTTGCTTGGTCAGTGAATCTGTTTGGATTTTCTTGTGTTTTCTTAGTCACTTTGTCTTTAGTCCTTTTTAGTTCTCTATTTTATTCTGTTTTGGTTTATTCTGTAAGTGTTTTCTTTGTCCCGTCCATTTGCCTCCACGTTAAGTTCATTCATCTCTGCTGTTCCTCGTGTAATTATTCTAACTTCATGTTCAGTCTTACTTCCCTCCTCTTGTCTCACTGTCTTGTTCAGCGGTGCCTCCTTACCCTTGTGTTTCCACTTCTCTGATCACCTTCATGTGTATAAATAGCCCTGTCCTTCCCCTCAGTCTTTGGGGTGCGTAGTGTCCTTGGTTTGTTCTCTGGTAGGTTTTGGCCGTCACCTTGCAGGCTTTGTATTGTGGATTTTTCTCAGCAACCTGAACACCGTGACATGAAAAGTCGATCTGAGTAAATTTGTCTTAATATGTGTTATTGGAAATCAGAATAAAGGGTAATAATCTGCTAACGGTAAAAACCCTTCAGCTCTGTCAGTGAGAACGTAACGTCTAAATATCCTAAGACTTTTTGCTCTTTTTTGGAGTTTAAACATCTTGTTATAAATGTTCATGATCTTTTCTGAAAACAGAAAAATCACAAAAGCCCTGTTTCTCCTTTGTGTTCCTAATGTTCTGGCCCATAATGTAATTAAAGTGATAGCTGAGGAAATTTAGAAATATTTATAAACATAAGAGCTAGCTTATCGAGAGGCTTACTCAGCATGTCACCATCCTCTGGACGTCAAATCTGATGCAGAATTTAAACTGTCTGAGAAACATCCGTCTTCACGGGCTCTAAAACAAAGGAGGAGAAATCTGAGACAATCAAATGATCTGCTGATGAACTCTTGGTAATTACCTCTCCAGCTGCTCTATTTACCTTACAGTCGTATGATGTGACCACGAGAAATCCCAAACAGACCTGCGAGTCTAAAGAGAAAGACTTAAATTGACTCAGATGACACGAAGCCGTCCATTAGTGTCTAAATCTGAAATCTAAGGAAAACATCTGCGCCATCAGCGTGATGCAGACTTCACATCAGGCCTGTCTGGTTCTGCCTGGACAGTTTGTTCCTCAGAGTTTTTCCCTGGAAGTGGAGCGTCGTGCGCCTGTTGTCAGTCGACGTTTGGAAACAAAGCGTGCAGAGCGTCATCTTTTCTTAACAGACCATCAACGCACAGCCAGAGGTGAAGTCACTTTTATGGAAATGAGGAAGATGAGAGGAAGCGGGTGGAGCCCAGACCGGCTTCAGACCGGCTGAAGTGGCACACAGTCCTGTGTATGAGTTCAGGCATCGAACCAAACTAGCTTCAGCAGCCTGTTTGCCACGAGCGAGTCCACCACGATGGTCTGAAGGTGGGCTGATGGTGAACCAAGAAGGTGTTGCTTTGTTAGACGTCCCTGTCGTGTGATTTTTAAAAAAGAAACAGAAACTGTGATTGTTTATTTTTGATGCTCCTCCCTCCAGCCCCAGCTACCCCCAAACACCTGCACATGAAGACCTGAAAACCAGCAGCTGGCTTCAGCTGTACCTAAAACGTTTTTAAGACATGATATTTAAGCATGGAGCTACTGTGATCAGAGACTTAAAAGTCAGCACATGATAAATGTAAATGATTTCTCTGATTTATAACTTTCATTTTACTCCAAATCAGTGAGATTTACTATTATTTATGTAAAACTGAATTACGCGCGTTAATCTGTTTCTGAATTTATTCCCTAAAAGTTTTGGCCCTGTTTGAATTTAACTGTCACCAGTTTGAAGTCACAGTGTCTAAAATCTAATATTAATATCATATTAATTGTATTATATTTGATACTAATATATGATTAATATTTTAATATTATGACTCCCTATTTCTGTGTATCACTAGTCCAGCCATAGACTGTATATTAAAGACTGACATCCATGATGTCATCCTTGAGGGCGGAGCCCTTCAGTGATGGAGTCGAGTGATTCAGTATCTCCAGTATCCGATAGCCTGAACTGTCACTAAGTAGTAAAGTAAACTTTGAGTGATGTACTGTAAAAATAAGACTGTATATAACAGATGGAAGTAGCCACATCACCCACTGGTTTGTGGAGTTCTGTTTGAAAACCATGAGTTTAACCTTATCACTATTTTTTAATCCAAAGTCTGTGCACAGAGAGCCCATACATCACTTAACTATGCTGTTAGTTCATCAGTAACTGATGTGATGTTCGGATGTTTGGACCTGTGCTGTGTCAATCAGCCCAGGTGACAACAACATGACTCTAAATGAGCCCCTCCTCTAATCCAAGAACCGTCACACAGGTCCAGTCCAGGAGCGCCTAGCAAATTAAACAGGCGAGTTTAAAACAACAAACCTTCATGCTTGTGCAGGCTGTAAATGTGTATGTTTGCTGTAAAAGTTGTGCATTTTACCAAAGAGTCCGTGGGAACTGAGTCACCGCTGGAGCCAGTCTCACGTGGATGTCAGAGGACCTGCAGGTTTTTGGCCAAACTGCACGTTCAGTATCTCTAAACTAGTTCTGGATGCAAATGAGCGTCTTACTGTTTGGCTTTATTCAGACTTAGTATTTGCTACCACGACTTTATCGAGCGATAAGAGTCGCTTGTTGTGTCTCTTGCTGAGAGAGTCTGGCAGTCGAGTCTGCTGAGACTGGAAACCTTGTGCAGGGTGATGTTTGCAAAGATGATGTTCGGGTCTTTTACCAAATCTTCCTGATAGAAGTACACATGTTCATGCCAGAGGCCTTCTTTGTGCTTCATTGGGCCCCAGCCCTGGCAGTACGATCTCTGTGCATGAGTGAGTGTGAAGTCAAACTAAATTTTATTTGATCTGCATTTAATGAAAAAGCTAAGCTTATTAGCATCATATCTGCAGTTTGACCTCCTGACAACTGATGCTGGAGGAGTAAATCTTAATTTGGGCTGATTTTCTGCCTTTAACAGCTCGTGTTGGTGAGACGGCTCAGTGAGCCCGGTGACAGAGGAAGGAGAAAGACCAGCAAAGAGGTTTGACCAGGCGTGACCGCCGCCCCGCCCGGGACAAATTCCTGACAGTTATCATGACCGCTGGACGAGGACAGCGAGGCTTTCATCTCAGAGGTCAGATTTACTACTGAAACCACTGAGGAGAGCTGAACCCTCAGCACTAAGTGGAAAACACTGAACGCTGTGATCCAACTCAGAACATTCCCGCTCCCACGTCTTACTCCATCTTTCAAGTTGAAGTCTGAATCCGGGCTTTGGGTTGTTCCCATCTCTCCGGACTGGTTCTTGACATGTTAAAAAATGATTTTGTGACTTTTAGTAAATCTTCCGAGGCTTCAGATTAGCCAAAGGACAAACCCATGAATGTCAGCATCAGCGTGTCCTCTCCTCTGTCTTTCATGCCTTCACTTCACCACAGGGGTCCCTAATCCAGGAGGAGTTAAACCTCTCCTCCATTCAGGCAGCATAGAGACGAACAGACCCAATTACACAAAGGAAGACATGGACAGAGAAAGAACACAGAGAGGAACCTGATGGACATGAGAAAAGAGACAAAAGGTCAAACTTAATGCAGTGCAGTGCTCAGAAAACGACCAAAAAAAGGCGGGTAGATGAAGTTAAACTGACAGAAAGACGGGAAAAGGAGGAATGAAAGGACAGGTGGCAGAGGTCAGGCTGAACGCCTTGCACTGGAGAGTAACGAAACTAAAGAGCAAAGTGGGAAAAGTAGGAGATTACTGGGGGGAACAGCATTGGCCAGAAGCCAGAGAGACCATTAGCAAAGTTGGTCCGGTCAGTGTAGCGTAGCACCGACGTGCATTTAAAAACTCTGCTTCCATCTCACATTTCACACGCTCTGCAATCCTGCTTTCAACCTCTGCTGCGGCGATGTTGGCGCACCTCGTTCTCAGGTCACAGAAGAAGAAAAACCTGAACTGGGAGGTGAAATAATCCATGTGGGTAGCACCGGAAAAGTCAGACCTGCAATGCTTCAGTTCACTTACACAATCTTATATTATTAAAGAGCCGATGTGTTGATTAACTGGCTGTCACACAACCATGTATCACCGTCTTTCCACATGAGGCTTTGCCTGAGTCACAAGCATAGAAAGTCTCTTTTTATGGTGGTGCACTGACTTCAGAGGGGACACGAGTGTTTGTGATCTGTGGGCTTTATCACAAAAACCACAAAATCAAAAAACAGAATCAATCATGCTGCCAGGAGTACAGACCCTGAATATGTCTTTACACTTACAGGACAACAGAGCTTTTACCAGGTCTCTGTCTGATAGTATCAAAACAACTCTTTGATTGGTCAAATCACAGGACAGTTTTCTGCTCAGGCCCAGAGAAGCAGCAGCATTTCGCTGTCATATTGAGATGTGTGGGAGCACCTTAGAGACCCAACCGCGCGACCCACGTGTCAAACTCAAACGATCGTTAACGCTGATCGGGAGAAAAAAGTCCAAGGAGCGAGACATGGAGTTAAATCTGAGAACTCTAGGAATACTAGGAAACTGGGAAATCAGAGTGAGGGAACACAGCTTAGAGAGACAACACGGCAAAGGACAAAGGAGGACTGAGACAATATATACAAAAGCAATATGGAGACAACTTTACCAAACAGTGGGAAGTTAAACAAGATCAAAATAAAACAGGAAGTAAAACAGGAGAAACGTGACACAGGAGACACCGAAGGACACAAAACACAACAGGAAACTAACAGAAAGTAACTGTAACTAACACGAAGTAATACAAAGTGTCAGAAGATAAATGAGGCTTGCAAACACAAAAGGAAAACTAAAGACTGAACAACCCAGACACGCTGAACCCAAAGTGGGATACAAACGTAAATTATCCTCAAAACAGAATCACAAACCCACCCAGGGACTGTGACACTGTGTGTGGAGCTCGATGTGTGGAACGGTCCAGCTGATTATCGATAAAGTTATTGAAATAAGCCGCCATAAAAATAGCACATCGGCGCAGACGCCGACACTGTAGGGATAACAGGATGAAGTTTGGGTGACATCATCATGTCATGAGAGAATGTCATGTGAAATCTTCAATATGTAAAATTCATCATTAATGTAGCAAAAGTTCATCAAAGTGCTTCAATTAAAATAACAAAGTAAATATAAATAAATACATTTATTGATTGTTGCATATCTAAAGTTCTTCCTTCATTAAAATATTAAACCGTGTGCTTTGTATAAAATGTCAAACAATATTTAAAGAGAGTTATTGATTCTTCAGCCTTTAACTTTATCAATAAAATGTTTATGGGTTTGTAATTAAAATAAAAACAGATGCAAACAAACAACTACACAACCGAGTTTAGCTGCTCACAAAGCAGCAGGACGAAGGTTTTGGTGTTTGACGTGTTTGTTTTTACATCCGCTGCTTTATAAATCATGTATTATGCTTGGATTTACGGTGCAGACGCTCAAACGTCTGTGACCTGCTGCTTACAAACACTACAGCTGTTAGTACTGCTGCTGTGCTGGGTGAGAACAGAAGCACACTCCTCCTCTGATGTCATCGACACTGATTTAATTGGTCATTTTTAAAAACATCTTGTGTTTCAAGTTTCCTGGAAACGAAATGTTCGACTAAAAGAACAACAGTAACCATCCGAGGTGGCAGAACGGGCCACGCCCACCGCGCTGAAACGTTTGCTCCATGTTCATGTGGTGCTGATGGAGGGAGGAACGGCGGCTCCTACAACAACAGGCCGCCGAGTGGCAGTTAGGATGCCCGCTGACGCCTGCGGACGAGGACCGACACCGCCGCGATGACCTGTTTGTTTAACCTTTTCACCCCACCCCCGAGGAGAGGTCGAGGTAGCCAGCCAGCAGGACCCCCTTTCTCCTCCTCCTCCTCTTCTCCTTGTTCTTCTCGTCCATGTCGTCTCCCGCTGCTCCCCTCCCGCTCTCATACAGACCCACAAAGACCTCCTCGCGCTTCCCACGCCGTGTCGTTACCTCAATTACATCACATGTCATCAAGCACACCAGGGATTTGGCCTGCTCGGGTTTTCCCTTGTGCCAAGTATATGGTTGGCTGTGGAGGAAATGCCTGTGAGATCCTAATCACTACTTTCTTCTCTGCCAAGGTTTAAACGGGAAGTTTGGTGCAGTTTCCTTTGTGTTGTCTAAACGGCGCTGTCACAGTCACTGACATGTAAACTCTGCTGCCTGCGTCACACTGCAGAGTCAACGATGTCTGTAAGTCAGTGCTCGGTCGTCATTCTTTTCTCCCCGTTTTCATGAAGCAGGTTCCTTTGCTGTACTTCGGATTTTGAAGAAGGCAGCTGCTCATTTCCACATCCAGAGCAGCTTTGCATGATTCACAGTTTAAAATGAGCCATATTTATCTGATACTTTACCTTGGAGAATCCCCTCAGTGTCACGCTCCTGGATTGTTTGACCCAGAGTTTTTGGACTTTCCATTTTTGTTTATTTAGATATTTTGATTCTTGGTTTGATCATTGCTCATATTTTCATCATGTAGTCTCCTTTTATCGTGTATTTAGACTTTAGTCCGTTCTTAGTTCCTGGTTGAGTTTAGTTCTTCCCTCGGTGTTTAATCCTCCCAGTGTTGCCAACTCCTCAGTAAGGAAAATCGCTATTGGCTGTCCTGCAAGTCGCTAGAAGTCGCTAAATGACGTCATCGCCTAATTTGCATAATTGGTTATGCTACGTTGTTGGAGAGAGAAATAACATGGTGGAAGAGACATAAAGCGAGTAAAAAAACGTCCTAAATGCATTTAGAATTTATTTAGAACTACAAATTAAATACAAATTAAATTTCTTTTAGCGATTGTTGATTTTGTTTTTTTGTTCCAACCCTGCTCCTTTACCCGGGCTTGGACCCGCAAAAGTGACCCGAAATGGTGGAGTTACTTTGTGTGTGTGTTTATAAGTAGTTTTAAACCTTGTGATCCACAAAACAGCATAAGAGTAAAAGAAGAACTGACTGCCCACGGCAGCACAGCTGCTTGTTGAGAGTAAGAGCGATACGTGCTTTTATGTCAAAAAGTCGTCATAAATAAGTCTCCAAAAACACCAGAAAAAGTCGCCAGATTTGTCGCTAGTCGCTTTTCAGAAAAAAAATCGCTGAGGGGGTCTGAAAACTCACTAAATATAGCGACAAAGTCACTAAGTTGGCAACACTGAATCCTCCTGTATTAAGTTCATTTGTGTGTCTGCGACTTCTCACTTCCTGCTTTATTTTGATAGTTAGTAGTGCCTTACTTTTAGTTTCCTTCCCGTTGTCTTCAGCTGCCTCCACTTCCCTGATTACCCTCAGCCTCATTAAACTCCTGCCTTTTTAAAATCTCACCTGTTTTCTGTGTCTACATTTTGGATCCACAACATCACGAGCTAATGCTAGGTATGTTAGCTAACAAGCTGCATCTATAAACTGTGTAAGAACATTAAAGCGACAGAATTAGTGCCGAGTAACATTCAAATAAAATCCTCATATTTCACTCAGGAAACTGGGCTCAGAGTCTTGGATGTTCTGTTAGTGCAGTGACGTCACTGCAGCCATATTATTGGTCAGATGATGTCATTAAAATGCTCCAGAAGGCCCGACATGTTTATTTCTGCTAACATGGGGCTTTGTGGGGGCTGACTCACTGCTGGAGCCTCCAGTGGACGTCACAGGAACTGCATGTTTTGTCACCAGCAGTGGTTTAACATAATTACCAGATAAACTTCAGGGTATGAAGGTGTTTGAATAGTTTGTTATATCGGGACATTATTAGTGTGACGTTCACTGAGATATCAGACTTAATCAGTCGCTGCGTTCCCCTGTGCTGCTGGGGTTTATGCTAAGCTAGGCTAAACAAATGTTTCCAATCCTGTTTCCATTGGAAGATTTAGTTGGTGGGGAAAAAAAGTTATTTGTGACCAAATCTGCCCCTGAGCTCATCTTAAGAAAAAAAAAGATTCTAGGTGTTTACATGGGCCGACTTCCTGTTTCTGCCGCACGCCGCCAGCACAAAACATCACGGCATCCTCCATAAACGAACAAAAATACGACTCATCCCCTCGAGTCACGCAGTGTTAATGCAGCTGTTGGCTGTGGACTCTGTGGCCAAACACAGCTCTTAATGTTGGTACACAGGATTAAGCTGGGCAGTAAAGCCTCCTGTTATCAGGCAGCATCTCTCAGGAGGCTCTAACCTGGCTGACCTGTGAGCCTGTGTGCTGGAGTCCGGCCAGTCTGCAGGTTAATGAGTAAACAGAAAATATGATGTTCCCTCAGAGCTGCGCTAATGCGGTGAGCTTCTGAGCGATAGGTCCGGTTACACCGACTCACCGTAAACAAAGGGATATTTTTACTGTTGGTGTTTCCAGGCGTGCGACCCCTGAAGGCCCGCTGACGCTCGTGCACACGTAAAAGCAAAAGTCTGAGAGTTTTTTATAGGAAGTTTGATCTGAGCTTCATCTGCGTGGTCTTTATAATCAAACACACTTTACTGAGCACACAGAGCCTGGGTGCTATCATACTCACTCAAGAGTTGGCAGTTCGTCTTGTATTCGGAAGGTTGCCGGTTCGAGCCCCGGCACGGACAGAAATAACTGAACGTCTGTTAGTTCGATTTTAACTTAGTTTAAAAGCAACTTGCAGGTTGGTGACCTCAGTTAATCAATGCATAGGAAAATTAACAACATCCTGATTTTACACAAAACAAATGTATTAAAGAAATGTTTGGTTGTTTTTATAACATATCAGAGTGCTAGAAAGCAAAGTCTGTGTGAGCAATAAGAAATATGAAGAGAAATCAGCACACACGTGATGAACTACAGCCTTCAGTGAGCCACAAATAGACCAGGATCAGGACTGACCAGTCCGATGATCCCAGTCACAGCACTGGGGCTGCGATCCAGTGTTTTCTGTGTGTTTATTCCTTGATTGTTGTTATTCATGGTTTTAGTTGTCGTGATGGTTTTCTGTTCATGTTTGTTGTTTTTAGCTTCTAGTTTTCAGTCCCTGTGTTTCATATGCAGTCAGTCATGTCTCAGCGTCTGTGTCTCTGTGCATGCGTCATGTTTTACTTTGACAGTCTCGCGTCCTGCTGTGTTCAGTTTTGCTTCCTTTTGTCTCGATATGTCTGATTACTCCCAGCTGTGTTTCCTGTTCCTCTCGTTACCCTGCGGTGTATTTAAGTCCTCAGTCTTCCCCTGTTTGTTGCTGCTTCCTCCACGTTGCTGTGTGTAGGTCCATGTTCTCCAGTCCGGTCAAGTCCAGTCACTACTGACCAGATTTTTTAGTTCTCGTTCATGTTTCATTTGTTTCTTTAGTATTCATGTATTTATGTTTTTAAGTTTGTTTTTCCAGCAATAGAGCTGCCGCCTTTAGTCAAGTTGTATCTACCTACCTACCTATCTATAGTAGATCATATATAAATATGGATCTATTAGAAATGAACCTACAAGTTAATTGAGCTGTGACCTGAGGGTGGAGGGATGTTTATCTCACTTTGTGACTAAAGACACATCCAAGAATAGACATTTAGTGAAATCATATTTAGATGTTTATTTATATTTTTATATCAGTGAAATAATGAACAATAACTGGGCGTAGAGGCCAAACTTTGCACCTCTCTGGAAAATAATCACAAAGGTTCTTCATGAGTCTGAATCCACAGTGCTGCTGTTAAAGCTCAGCTCATCATCTTCATCAATATTTTCTCTCACTTTCTATAAAACTAACAGGTCAGTTTCTCCTTCCTTTCTTCTTTTTCCTCATTTCCATTGGTTAAATCAACACCTGAGTTTGGACACGCCCACTCATCTGTAGAGTAGAAGATAGTCAACAATTAAATCGACCAACCAGCAATTTCATATTTTTCTTGGAAAAACTCGTGTTTTTAGAGTTTTCAGTAACTGCTTTTCCTCTCGTTTACCTTCCCTGCGTGTCTGTTTTCCCTCTTTATCGTGCGTCCACCATATTTTCAGTTTTCCCTCTGTAGTCCACGTCTTTGCACAGATATTCTTCGAGCTTTGAGTTTCAGGCCTGGACGTGCTCTCGCTCGTGTCAGCAGACAGGACGGCGTCCTTCATG